ATATATATATAAGACCCAGATCACTAGTTTTATTCTATTCAATCATAAGCTACCACATCTTGATATCTATGACATGTAGTTAAATAATACATCATGAGCGAACTCAAACCAATCCTATTCGATAGATTCAGATACGAAATATGAACGTGTGAAATACATTTGTTTTTGGAAAAAATAATGAACAACCATATACAAAAATGGTGTATATTTCAAAATCAAGCTACATATTTCAAAATCAAGTTATACGTTCTTCAATATCGAAGTCTTTAAGAGAAGACGGTACAAACAGCTGACCTGGTTAAGACAGCATATTTCGCTAAGACGACAAGTTAAGACCGTCGGAAGCTGGATTGCTATCCCGACATGTCCGGATGACATGTCTCCTAGTACAGTCGAAAGTATGTAAAACATCATGATATTTCACTAAGAAGTCATATCGCGACGGGTCGGAAAATAATTTAAGAGTCCGGGTTACTGGGTACACTGGGATTTAGAACCTTGTCACTCGGACTTCGGGAACAAATATCATTCTTCATCTTCACACAATCAGTAAATGAGTTTTTCTTAACTGTTAAAAGACGCTAAGTTTTTTTTCTTGACATGCACTAGACAAAGTCAGAAATGAGTTGTTTTTTATACAATAGGCGAGTGACGACTCAAAATCAAGCTAACTAGTTTATGGGAACATTCCATGCAATTAATACTCAGGTTGTCTCCTGTGACCCTGTCTCGTTTTGTGTTAGATTGAAATAAATAAAAATAAACATCGGCCAGCCATATTATAATATAGTCCCGTATTCCATAGCCTCCCCTAAATCAATTCCAAAATGCGTAGTGCGCACTCTGTATTCTAGTTTTTAGTTAATATTTTAGTGACAAAAGACAAATTAATAGGAAGAACATCAGTTTATTGATGACACGAGTACTTTTAGTTCTGGATTAAGGGTTAGGAGTGCGGCATTGCTGACCGTGGCTGGGATGATAGTTTAGTATTCTCAGGGTGATGGTATGTGATCGTACTTCAAAGTGCACTTAAAGGTACATATGAGGGTATCAAATGTAGGATGCGTTTGTACTACCACTTATATATAATTTAACATAGTGACGAATGAGTATCAGGGCCGAAAAGTTGAGTGCATGTTATCAGCCTCATAAACCAACATCTAAAAATGATCACTTTGCGCTGAAAAGATGGTGCTAGAACATTCACAATCGTTGAAGTATACGCGGTGGGTAACTACTTGAATGCTTGGTATAAATACACACAACTGTATGTGAGGGAGTGTTGGCACAGTCTTTTGCGCCGAATTAAGATTATTATATTAAAATAGAGGATAATCAATACCATACGGTGCTTATTGTAGCGAGATATCACTACATTTATTAAACTGTGTATAGTAAATCAGGGGTTCACTGCTGATTCGACAGTTTCTTGTAAAGTCTTTTGCGCTAATACTTTTAGTTTAAAGCGCACTACACATATACGAAAAGAACTCACTATTGAAAAACTTTAAATAGTGCACTTAACAGTGTCAATTTCTGAAGCTATAATGAGCCGCTTCAGGTCGTATACCGGAAGGCAGAAATATAGGGTCTTGTCTTGGATTGTTTCTGCATGGCTTTGTAGAATGATCGTGGATGGATTGCTAAAGATGGCTTTGATTGAGATACTCGCAATAAAGATCTTGATGCGATTTTGCACCAAAGTCTGACGGAGGATCTGTCTAGCAAGGTTCGTGTTGCAGTGTCCACGGAGCGTATGTTCACGGATTATGGAATCCAAGACCACCCGTGTCGATGGATCCTGCACCTCAGTTGAAGATGTTTTTAAATTCCATATTGAGAGTTCGTGCCCTCAAGGTGGTGTATCTTGAGAAGCTCAAGATGAATACATTTAAAGCTGTGCAAACTGTTGCGTGCACCGGATGGTTGGGTGGCAGTTCATCTATACATAGCATAGAATATTGGGATTTGGCGAAGTCTAAAGGATAATTTCTCTTCAATGAGAATCGAATGAATAAAGTGAAGCTGCATATTAGTGCAGAGGATGTGATAGAGGGCTCAAAGCTGATAGCTGTAGTTGAGAACTTCTAGGCACTCGGAAAACAACAATGTCAGGTGTTGATGACACTAATAGAACCGGTACTGGCTGGTACTTTTGTTGGCGCTGGTAATAATGCGACGTTTCGATACCCAGTCTTTGAAACAAAATGATGAACAGGTTCAAAGCGGTTGAAGTAGAAATTTAAAACTTTGTGCTGGCATGCTACCCCTTGGAAGCTGATCAGCTTGTTGTGAAGAGTATCTATGAGGCGGAGTGTTGACCAAAAGATCCACGATGCAGGAGACAAACCGCACATGGAGTGGCGACAGCATGTGATAAGTACCAGAAGCGGACCGCTATTCTGGGTGCCATACAAGCAAACATCCCTTGCATTTGAAACGAAAATGTTAGTTTGGTACCGCAAGGTAAGAGTTGTTGAACGAAAAGTGAGAGAATGTAGCTCCAGTAGCAGCACTTAGAAAACGGCAAAGGCAGTGAAATAGTAACTCAATAGTGACTCGGGAGCAGGGGTATCTGGTAAGACACCAGTCGCTGGACTTTTTGGACCAGTCATTGGAAGTGCAACCTTTGTAGCACCAAGTCAAGCGTGACATGGGAAAGACGCCAATGCTACTGCAAACGATATAAAGATCCGTATCTTCCTGGACACGGGTGCTAAGCCTACGTTAATCAGCAGGCCACTAGCAGAGAGGCTCAAATTGGGAAGGAATGAATATACTGGGCTCGCGTTTACAGGCATAGCAGACAGCTCGTCCAGATGATGTGGTGGTCGTTAGACATGAAAATGGCAGCAATGTAGGGAAATGCTAGTGTGCAACAGTTAGCTTGTTTGGTGGTAACCACTAGCAGAGAGGCTCAAATTGGGAAGGAATGAATATACTGGGCTCGCGTTTACAGGCATAGCAGACAGCTCGTCCAGATGATGTGGTGGTCGTTAGACATGAAAATGGCAGCAATGTAGGGAAATGCTAGTGTGCAACAGCTAGCTTGTTTGGTGGTACTGAAGTGCCTATGAGTTGTTACAGCACAAGTGATGAGACAAATGATACAAGGTATTCGTTTTTAGCTGCATTTAAATAAATACAATTTTTTCTTCTGATTTATCTAAAGTGTTCTACATTCACTTTGATGGCTCATATAACCCGAGTATTTGTTATGACTCATATATTTGGCTATATTTGAAACAATAGTAGATATAGGAAACTATATACTAAATTATATAAACTTTGAACTATTACTTCTATTTTACACGGTCCTCCCGCCAATCTCGAAAATGTAATAAGTCCTTTTTCTCTTTTAACTTTCCTTCAGGATGACTATAATACATAATTACTAATGTATGAACATGGTTCATATATATCCACCTATCTGCAATGAGAGGATATGATCTATGAACCCTTAGTACTTCTAATGAAAATAATCAATACCTTATCTAGCCATCCACTGTTCACCAGAGAGGTCGTTCTGTGTAATCGAGGGTATTAGGACTTTTACCAAGAATTCCTACACAAGCTACCACAGCTCAATCATAATGATATATCAGTCATGTATACTTAATTTAAATATGGTAGAACTTGGAATATTTACTCTGAAGTTCACAGCTCTGGCGTGTCAGTGTGTTGCAGGGGGTACCGCATGCATGTGGTACCGAATGCAGGTTTGGCAAATGCATGAGACCATACCAGCTGGTGGTTTTGAGCCTGGATCGTCATTATTCCAGGTGATGCTTGACAATACGGCAGGTAATTCATTAGTGACCGCAGGGGTGGGTTTGCCCCGGATCTCAGAGAATTATTGTGCGACAGAATGGATGGCTGATGATCAGGAACACGAGATTAACCAAGGGTCCTCTATTGAAACTTGAAATATTCATGAGATATTCATAACTTGTCTGAAGCTTGCGTTATTGTTGCAACAGCAGTGCAGTATTTCCTGGCTAATTTTGCTAGTATTGCTTATAATCTTAAAGCTCCGCGATTATTGGAGATGCATGCCTTCGTCTTGGATGAAGTCTCTGGCGCAATTACTCAGTATCTAAGCTACTTCGACAAGAGTCTTGCCAAACCGGCGGCGCTACAGGCAAAGGTGAAGGCTTGGCTTACAGCAGGTATCATTGAGCCAGTTATGGAAACAGAATGGCGCTCTACTCCACACTTGGTATACAAGAAACCAGGAGTGATGCCGATTTCGGTGGATGATGGGCGGTGCTGTAATGATCTCAAGCGAGTCATCACGCAGCTTCGGGTAGTTCAATTTTACATTCATATGGAAAAAAAAGTATCTATTGACACTTAAAGGCAAAAACTGGGTGACTACCGAAAACAAAAGCCAAGCCTTTTGGCAGAGTCGCATGGTATCAGAGTATCAAATAACCCATGCGTAAGCGTACCAGGATGGGTATCCCATCTGTTGCGGATCCTTAGCCAGACTTATTAGTGTTCAGGGTAGAGTTACCCGGCATGCGGGAGGTAAAGGCACTGCAGTACTTGTACACTACCTACTCGCATGCGGCCCAGACATGCCTTCAACACTTGGTACAGGATGTTATGGGTTGGCAGGGCTAGCATGGGCAAGTACGCATGACTGGGTTTGTGTGTGGCCCTGCCATGGTCGTCCTCCGACTGGAACTTTGACTCTGTTGCAGCAGCAAGAGCTGTCGGTTGTATTGTTCGCCAACTGGACCATGGATTACTTGGATCTTCCTGAAGCTCCTGACTGGGAATGCTCAGACTTGGTTGCAGTTCGACCAAAATAATGGTTGTCATCTATTTCGTCCGTGAGCAGATTCTGCCTTGGGGTGTACCTCTGTTGATCACACTGAACTTGATAATGCAAAGTTTGCGGCCTTTGACTTGGCGCCTGGGTTTCATATTCACTTGACATCGGTAGCGTGCCATCAAGGCAATAATCGTGCTGAACGAGCCATTTGCACCGTACAGGAATGGGTGGCTCCGCTTACGAACTTTGACACATTATACGATTGGGTAGATAACGTTTACTCTTGCACTGGCTTATAATGCTACTGTGGTGCCCCAGACTGGATTCTCTCTTATTTTGCTGCACACGGAGCGTATGTGTGATGGTTCACACAGGGTGTAATTGCAACGCAAGATTGGCGACATTTTGCACAATGATTCAGGATTGCAAACACTTGTTCGGAATAGGGTTGAGCTTCGCCTGAATGTGTGCCGACTCCACATATTCCTGTTGGTACCAAAATGCGTATTTGGAAGGACATTAGCCATCACAAGCTATGTGCACAGTGGTTTGGACTATCCTCCGCGGTGCCACACCAGGGCCCTGTACTGCATCAGATTCAGTACAAAAAGCAAAATGCTGCTGCTCCATCGCACGTTCTTGGACTTCTTTCAAGATGGTTCTGCTGGTACTATCTCGGACAAGGAGTATACCCGTTGTTTTGAGAAACAATGGCACTTGCCAGGCTTGGCTATTTTGAAAACTTGCATTTGCGCATGTGCCTATCAAAGTACGTGGCCTATTGGCACGCGTGTTAGCTATGCTAAAAGTACTCGAGGTTAGAATTGTCTTCAAGCACTTGCTGACTCTGCTATGGCGTCAGAGCGAGTTCCTAAATTGAATGCTGATTTTGCCATGAGTACGGATCTGAACGCGTATCTCCAAGACAAAGGGGTGTCTCACTCGCAGCTGCAAGCTTGTGTGCGCACGGGGAACGATGCTAGTATGAGGACTAAGATGTTCGCCAAGTGCGGAAGTACTACTGTATCCATCGCGCGTGCAGATGACCATGTTTGTTATATGGTCTCAGCTTTGTTGGTTTAATTTTATTAAGATTACCTGCTACACATAGTGTGCATGTGCTATTATTAAACACTTATATTCGATTTAGTCTTACTTCATTGTGTCCAGTCAACAGTCAAAGTCCGGACTTCAGTCCGTTTAGGTATATTTTATTCTCTTCTCTGTAGATGATCATGATCCAGTTGAATCCATACAGCTTTGGTGAGAACTGCTTCTCAGGCAAAATGGATAGAGGTTAGGTATTCTTCCCCAGGTCGCCAGGTGTGCAACTTGAGAACTACCAATCAATTGCAAACACATGTAGCACTGCTCTCTCTCACACACACCCTCTCTCTCTCTCTCTCTCACACACACACACACACACATATATATATACTATACATACATACATACACACTACACACACACACTACACACACACACACACA